CTGCCCTTTGGTGGCTGGCCTCTCTGTCCTTGGGGCTCCCAGCAGGCTCTGAGCGAGTGTCTCCTGGCATTGTCCACGTGTCTGTCCTTCCACTAGATGTGAGTTCCTGGAGGCCGAGGGCTGAATGGCTCTCACCCGCTATGTGTTCTGCCTTAGGATGGTGCGGACCTAAGACTAGACTGGCAACTAAAACAGGTTATGGTCAGTGCTGAGGTCTTCCGGGGAAGCCCAGAGTTCTGTGGGAGCACAGGAGAGGCCCCAACCAAGCCTGGAGGTGACCCAGAACCCAACCCAGCCTGGAGGGGGTGTCAGAACCAGGTTTTAAAGGATTAGCAAGGCCTCAGCACAGCATTGAACCAGGTGGAGGGAGGAGTGGTGGGATTTCCAGGGAGCAGACCCTGGGAGCAAAGACTTGCCAGCAAAAAGCCAACTTGGGGTGTGTGTGTGTGTGTGTGTGTGTGTGTGTGTGTGTGTTCAGTTGGCAGCAAGGAGCAGGGGTTAGGGGAGAGGGCGGGGTTACTGGTATGGGTCCGCAACTGGGGGAAGGTAAGCAGGGAGCTGAATTATGAGGACTTTGGGCATCAGGCTCAGGAATTTGAACTTGTCCTGAGGTAATCGGAAGTCAACAAGCAGGAGACACAATTAGGGATTTGACAAAGTCCTTCTGACAGTTGCTATAGAACTCGGGGAACTCCTAGGTGCTTTACTGGGGGGATTTTGGGGGTGCTGTCTGCTTTCATTATGACTGGGGGCCACCACCGGCATTTAGTGGGTGGGGCCTGGGGTTCTGGACACCCTGTGACATGCAGAAGAGTCCACACCATGAAGAATGTCCCACATGCCCTTTGACTTCGGAACATTCTACCAGACATCTAAGTAGAGGAAAAAACACCTGTTTGTGTCTGAGCAAGAGCCCAAGTCTTGCAAATAAATACAGAGCATTTTTGTATGAATATTCTGAATTTCGACATACACTGAAATTGCCAGAAATACAACTCCTATGTAAATTGAGGGAAGATTGCTCTTTATCCTGTTCAGAACCTTACCCTGAGTTGTCACCATTTCGGAAAATCACATACTTAATGTCAACACTACTTATGGTATTTGAGTTGCCAACTTGACATTCTCCTTAACAGTCCACACTTGTGGCTGTCACATTCGGAGGGGCTCTATGCATAGGCAGAAGTGTCTCGTTACTTTACCATGTCTTCTAATGTAGTCGATAAAAGTATTTACAACTTGCAATACACATCCTCTTAAATTACTTTCCTTATTAGTTTAACCAAAACTTGCTTAGCTCTTAATGTGTGCCAGGCACTGTTCTAAGTGTTTCATGAATAATTAGTAATCTTCATAATATTCTATGCAGCAAAGTGCTGCACAGAAGAAAAAAAGATCCCCCCCCCTTCTTTTTTTACTGGAGGGCTGAGGCACAGAGAGGTGAAGTGACTTACCCAAGGTCACACAGCTGGAAAGTGTAGAAGCCACTATTTGAACCAGCATCTGTGCATTTCACCACTAGCCTCTAATGGCTCGTTCTGATATTTCAGTTAGGGCATTGGGATGGTTCTCCTTGGGGAACTATATACAAACATATGCCATTTCATTCCAAGGGAATAAAGGGTGATACAAGATATCTGTCCAGGGGGCACTGAAATGGTTAAGACTCACTGGCGGAGAGCTCACAGGTATAAACAGGCTCACCCAGGGAGGGAGGTGTGAGAAGGGTAGGGGGCTGGGAACAGATCCCAATGCACCCCAACATTTTGGGAGGAAAGAGAGCAAGAGAAGGCCAGGAAGGCAGAAGGGAAGCCAGGGGAGACGGGGAGACTCCAAGGATGGGGGAGTAGGTGAGAGTGGGGAAGGCCTCTGAGAGATCAGAGAAGTCAGGGCTGAAGGTGGCCCCATGTGGCCACAAAGGGTTACCTTTGAGCAGGTTTGCTCAAAGGAGCAGGGTTACCTGAGCTGGTTTGAGCTGAGGCAGAGGAGGAGGAGGAGGAGGAGGAGGAGGAGGAGGAGGAGGAGGAGGAAATGCCCCGCTCCCCCTCCTCCCTCCCTCTTCTCTCCTGCTGTGCCTCCACTGGCCCCCTCCCAGAAGCCAGAGCGAAGGCAGTCCTCGGGACCAGTGGGGTGGAGGGGAGGAGAGGAGGGATCTGTGTAGAGAGTGGGAGACGGAAGAGTGGACACGGCCCCTGGAGAAGGGAGATGCAGGACCCAAGTGGGGGGATCCAGGGCAGATGTCACCTTGGAGATCGCCTCAGTGGGGAGCAGCCCCGGGCACCATCCCCTCCCCCATCCAGTCCCTGGTGGCAGCAGCCCCCTCCTCACTGTACCCTGAGGTAGATACAATTATCCCAACTTACAGATGGGAAAACTGGGGTCCGGAAGAGTCAAACAGACCAACAAAACTTGCCTAAGGCCACAGGGTAGAACCAGGATTCATACGAAGCAGGGGGGATGCCGAAGCTGGGGCTTTACCGGCATATCTCCCTAGGCTCCAGAGGGGGTGGGTGCCCTCAACCAGGGAGAAGAAGGCAAGTAATTCCTGAGCAGAGTGGAGTGCAGCTACTCAGCCTTGAGTCAAGGATTCAAGGAGTGGAAAGGGCTGGTGTCAGGCCACCCCGAGTTCAAATCCCACCCCTGCATTGACTAGCTAGCTGTGGGACCCCAGCAGCCAATCTCACCTCTTGGAGCCTCCGTTTTCTCATCTGCAAAATGGGGACAATGCTCACCTTGCAGTGCTGTTGAGGGGGTGAAATGAGGTTATGCTGGTTCCCTTTCCCCCTCCTCACACCTGCCCCCCAGGCCGGAAGGATGGGGAAATGGATTCTCCTAAGGGCCCGTCTCTGCAGAGGGGCTGGCCTACTCTCACTGTCTCTTCTCCAGACCCGGACAGGGAGCGGTTTGCCCTGTCTAACCTCTGCCCGCCTGCCATGCCGTGGCTCCTGGCCTCCTCCTTCTCACTCACATGGGGCTCCCTGGCCCAGGCTGTTCATTTTCTGCATCCCTCCCTCCCTGTCCACATCCACCCGTCCTCCAGACTTCGCAGGGCACTTCCAGGTCTGGCCACAAGGTGGTGCCCAGCGGCTGCAGGACGCGGGCTGGGGCGCGAACAGGAGTTTGGGCTGGCGTCCTGACCTCAGGGCTCATTGTAAAAGCGTGGATGTTTGTGTCTGTGTATCCAGAGCCCCAGGGGGCTGTGGGAGCCTTGCTGTCCTCCTGTCCGCCTCCTCCCCGGCTGCTTGGACCTCTTAGGAACCTCTGAGACACAGAATAAACAGACGTTGCTCTGCCGCTGCAGCTCATTAAAGAGCTTTACAGGGTGGGAACTTATTTCTGTTTCACAGATTAGGAAACTGAGTCCCAGGGAAGGAAGTCATATGCCGAGGTCACTCTGCTAATCACTGGTAGAGCTGGGTGCAAACTGGGATCTATCCAGCTGTGGGGCCTGTGCTTTTCCCTGCAGAGTTGAGAGGGGCTTGGTGCTGGTGGGGAGCTCCTGGTATCTGTGAGAGGCAGGGAATTTAAATAAAGGTGGTTTGGGAGTGAGGAGGGTCCCAGAGACCAAGGAGCACCTCCCACCCCAGAGGGAACAAGACTCCAGGGTGGGGATGGGGCAGGATGTGGATAAGGGGTCCACCCAGGCCCTCGGCTCCCTCTCTGAGCACTTTGCCAGGGTTGGAGGACCAGCGGGGCCATAGGCCAGGCATGTGGCATGTGATGCCACCACTCTTCTCCCTGCTCTTCTGTGGACCTGCGAGCACAGCCTGAGCTCCCCCAATCAATCAATCAATCAATCAGTCAATCAGTCAATCAGTCAGTCAGGTCTGTCTCTCCAGACTGTGCCCTCTGGGTGTCAGGTCACATCCCACAGCCCAGCACAAGGTCTGGGTGGCCAGAGTTCATGGTCGTTGAATTGAGCCAAATCGGGTGCACTGGCAGAGGCCAGTGGCTAGGTTCAGAAAGTCCTTTCAGCAACAGTTTCTTCCTCCCCCGGAGCTGAGTGCAGGGGAGGAAAGAATGGGCTGCTTTTTGATGCTGTGGTGCCTTAGAGATGGCTTGGATTCCCGGGGCCAGGTCCCCCAAAGAACCTCTCCTCTCCATGCAAACAACATTCCCTTCTCCAGCCGGCAGCAAGCAAACATCAAATGCAGCAAGAGATGGTAAGGTCAGACAACAAGAAGGACTTCCCAGCAGGGGAGAGGGAAAGTTTGTTTAGCTAGAGCTGCCGTTCAGTAGAATGGGCTGCCTTGGATTGCAGTGAGGTTTCCCGAGTTGCAAACAGCAGAGGCAAAGATTTAGGCCAAGGCGGAGAAACAGAAAAAGTTCAGTTTGGCTGGTGAGGGAGTCAGGGGCCTTATCCTGAGGGCTATGGTATGAGGGGCTGTGTGTGGCAGCGTGGGGCCCCAGGGAGTGAAGGGGAGGGATGGGATTAAGAGACAGTGAGAAGAAGAGCCCCCAGGAGCTGGTGGACTGAGTGTGGGGAGGGGAAGGGGGCTTTGGCCGCAGGGTGGCTGAGGCCTTGTTCAGGTGGGGAGCACTGGGAGGGAACAGGCTGGGTGGGAGGGGCTGGGGCTTCTGAGCAGAGAAGAGCTGTGAGAGGCTGCTGGATGCTCAGGCCTAGGCTGGGGAGGGAGGCCCAGGCTGAGAGGAGATTGGAACAGGGGTCCAGCAGGGTGGGATAACCTAGGACTTGGGAGTAGCTGGCATCATCTGGGGAGAACAGAAATCCCCCCTTCCCCTAGAAGCTGAGGCAGCGGGACCTGAGAGGTGGGAGGAGGGGGGGTTGGGGGGGGCACGGAGATCAGATCCGACTGCAGGGGCCCCTAAGGACTGTCTGGAGCCCTGGGGCCTGGGGAGACAGGGTGGGTCAGACCCCTCCTCTCCAGTCTGTCCCCAGTGGAGCAGCCTGGGAGGGCCTGGGGTGGGGGAGGAGGTGGGAGGAGAGGGAGGGAGGGGCCGGGCCTCTGTCCACGGCATTAGTGCTGGTTGGAGGGAGAGGGGGGTGTGGAGCCAGCCAGGCCGCCTGTTCCCACAGCCGCGAGCTGAGCGTGCTGCCATGGCGCTGGCCAGGCCGGGGACCCTGGCCCCCAGGCCCCCGGCCCCTCTTCTGCTGCAGTTGCTGCTCTTGAGTCCTGCCCTGGCCCTCCTGGGTGGTGAGTTGGGGCACAAGCCTTGGGGGGTGGGGGGCTGGGGGTCTGTCTCCCAAAGCAGACACGCCAGGCCCCGGGGCTCTCTGTGTGGGTGCCAGGATGGACTGCAGGGCTGGGCGCAGGCCAAGATGTGGGTGCAGAGGGGTGCGCTGCTGCCGGAACTTGCGTGGAAGAGTGTGCGTCCTGGGAACTGGGGGTTGCTGTGTGGGGTGGGGGGGGGGGGCTTTGTGAAGGGATCCTGGGATGGGCTGTGCGGCTTGGGAGGGGTGCTGGGGCTGGGAAGTCCTGGGCTGTGAGTGTGGGGGGTTGCAGGTAGTGTGAACCTCACCCCAGGGTCTGCTGTGAGCGTGCGCTGGGCTGTGGGGTGCGAGCCGTGGGTGTGTTAAAGTTGTGAGCTGTCCCGGGTGAGGGGTGAGCCGTTGTCTGAGGCTTTCTGGGTGAGCTGTGCTGTGTCCGAGCACAACTTGTGGGACATAAGCTGTCAAGTGGGTTGAACTGTGTCTTAGCTCGGGACATGGGGACATGGGGACGTGGGGTGGGGGCAGCAGACCCCAGCCCAGTGGATTGCAGTGAAGGGGGAGGAGGAGATCAGGGAAACCCGGCAGCTACCTGCATCCCTCCATTTGTGTGTTAGCCTTGCCTGCACTGGGGGGCTGGGGGTGCTCTGGGGCTCCTGGGGGTGGCCAGGCACTCAGGAGCATGTGTGCCCACCGCTGTCCCCTCTTTGGCACTCCCACGCCAAGCTGAAAGGGCTTCCTGAAGCCCGACCCCATTCGCCAAACGGTTTTGCTTTTGTCCGAGCAGATTCATGGATTCACGTGTGCACGCCTGGACTTCTTCCTGGGGGGTCTGGGGGACGCTTTGTCTCGGTCACTATAGCTACAGGGCCAGGCCTGGGAAGTCCCCTGACCCCGCCTCCAGTGCTGGAGGAGGGAGGGGGAGCCAACCTGGGCGGGTGGCCTAGGCCTCACTGCAGTGGGAGGGGAGGCGGTGAGGGGACTCACCCCTCGGGCTCTCAGGGTGGGAGGTCAAGCCTCCCCAGGCCCCTGGGGGCTTCCTCCCCATTCACGGGGCCTGCCTCATGAAGGCTTCATCTCCTCCTCTCTGCAGGGCCCTTGGGGAGGACGAGGACCCCATTTTGTAGTGGAGGGCACTGAGGCTCTGGCAGGGATGGGGGCTTACGAGCTGGGCCCCTGAGGCAAATCTGGGCTCATGAGAGGAGGTGAGGGTCTGCTCTCTGCTCTCTGCACGTGAGGGGCATGAAATCCTGGTCTGTGGATCTGCTATCCGTCCCTGCCCTCCAATGTCTGCACTCGCATATGCATGTGCACACAGAAAAATGACAGACTACCTGCAAACACATGCACACGTGAACACACAAATCACACACATGCATGCACACACACACACATACACACACCTGCACACTGGTGTGGCATGCACAAGGGCACACAGCACCACATGAACAGGTGTCCACACGCACACGCCTGCACACACCAGTGTGCGTGTCGACGTGTGCATTCATGCTGAAATGTACGTTCACGCGAACCCCGACACAGAGTCGACACAAACTGGATGGGTGCTACAGAAAAAACGGACACTGATGTACGTGCTCACCTCCGCACAACCCTGCTGGGGTGCCCAGGGGCGGCCTTTCCCACTGTGATTGCTGTGCGGGGGGCCTCCTCTGGGATCCCCAAAGGCTGGGGTGAGGGCACCGTGGGCATGAGCGTTTCTGGATACCAGCACCCGAGGCCTGAGTGCCAGGAGAGGGGCTGGGGATTGTGCCACCTGAAAAGGAGTTTCTATCCCAGAGGGGATGGGGGTTTCTGGAAGCCCTTGGGCCCCTGGCTCCGCTGCTCTTGCTTGCCAGGCCCGGAGCCGAGCCCCTCCACCCTGGGCCCACGCTGCCACAAAAGCCTGGCTGGTTGCTGTGGAGAGGGCCAAGCATCTTGGAGTACAATGGGGCGTGCTGGGCTCTCACATCCCTCCCCACACCCTGGGAGCCCGCTGACAAAGGGACAGCAGTTCAGTCCCCCAAGTCTGGCCCCTCCTCCAACCAGGGGGGGCCGGCGGGCGGACTGTGGGACAGAGGCAGGGGTGGAACGGGGCGCCACACACATGTGAACCAACCTCAAGACTGGCTGGATAGACACCCTCTGCTCCAGGTAAAGGTTCGTTGGTCAACGAATAAATATTACCACTGACCGCCACCTGGAAGATGCTGTGCTAATGAACTAACATGATGGGCTTTGTTGTTTTTGTTTTTGTTAAAGATTTTTATTTATTTATTTACTTACTTACTTATTATTTTTAAGTAACCTCTACACCCAGCGTGGGGCTCGAACTCACAACCCTGAGATCAAGAGTCGCATGCTCTACCGACGGAGCCAGCCAGGCGCGCCACAGGATGGACTTTGAATCTCACCATTGCCCTGTGAGGTCGGCTCTCACACCCCCAGTTTACAGAGGAGGAAATGAGGCCCAGAGAGGGTCAGGAACTTGCCCAGAGTCACAAAGCTAGTGTGTGGCAGGGCCTGCATTTCACAGCTGGCTTCAGTGCTAGCCTGTGCAAAGTCACGCCCCTTCTCCGTGCTTCTGCTGAAAGAGGGCAAGCCATGTAGCTCTGAGGGCCATCACAAGAATTTGATGAGAAAACACAGTGGTTCCCCAACTTGGGTTTGACATGGAAGTCCCAGTTTCTAAGCACATTTTAGATGGAGACCACTAATAGTTAACAGTGGCCTGTTTGGGCGGCAGAACCTCACCAAGTCCGTCTGGCCCTCACAGGGGCAGTGTCTCCACGGCCCTAGGGCTCTGAGACCAAAGCCAGTGCCAGGCAGCGGGGAGGCGGTGAGTCCTGACAGCCATCGTTGCCGTAACTGTTACCAAAATTATAAATATTTACTCCCTGCCCCCTTTTAGCCTTGGGGGGTAAACCTTTTTGTAAAAGAGTACTCCAAACTCTCCTGTCTTGTTAGAGTAACTTAGCCCTCTCCTGATGGCTCTGAGGCAGTATTTGTATCATATGGTACTGTTATTCAGTCCTGTCCTCACGGCCTAGTGATATTATTAGATGGACAGTTTTTGCCCCTGTGTCAGAAGCTCCCACATCTTACAAGATCTTGGGCCACTTCTTAGAAATATCCTCTTTCTTGGAGTGCCTGGATGGCTCAGTCGGTTAAGCGTCTGACTTCGGCTTAAGGGCATGATCTCACAGTTCGTGAGTTCAAGCCCCGCATCGGGCTCTCTGCTGTCAGCATGGAGCCCACTTCAGATCCTCTGTATCCTCTGTCTCCCTCTCTCTCTGCCCCTCCCCAACGTGACGGTGCCCTCTCTCTCTCTCTCTCAAAAGTAAACATTTTTTTTTAAGCATTAAAATTTTAAAAAAGAAAATAGAAGAGAAAGAAATTTCCTCTTTCTTGCCTTGTCAAGACAAGAAGCTTCTCAAAATCCACCCATGAGTAAACACTTCCCATGAGTTGTCAGCAGTGATCACTAGGCCTGTTATAAGTGCACGTAAAGTAGGAGTTACTAAGCACTGAGTGAAGGACAGCTCGCTCTGCCCAGGCTGATCCTGGAACCTCCGCACCTGCTCCAGCCTTTAGAGACTTTTTCCAGTGTCTGGGGAAGGTGGGGCTGGAATGCACTAAAATGACAATACATGGCTGGTGATTCGGCATTTGCAAAGTGGGAATTTCACAGGCTTTGGGAGATGTGGACCTTTCAGAAGTCTGGAGATGGCAATCTACTTAGTTTTTTGAGGGATAATTTGGGGCAAGTTTATAACCTCTCCGAGTGGGAAGACGGTTTTCTCACCCGGGCCCACCTTTCCTGGTTTGAATCAAATGTAATAATGTAATTATAGATGCAACACGTGCACCACAGCCTGGAGCATATAGTACGAGCTCAGTAAATGATTGCTGTTATATTATTATGGTCGTTCTCTCTGGGGAGAGAATTCCCTTCCTGGTATCGGGATCTGGGCCTTCCGGGGGACAGGGCAGCGGGTCAAAGGGGAGGGGCATGTGTCAGTTAATCCCTCCCCTGCCAGGTCGTCCCAGGCAGCCTGAGAGGTCAGGAAGGATTTGTAAAGATAAGCACAGGCCCCTCGTTGCCCTGGCGACAGGCCACGCCCCCCCAGGCTGGCTCAGGGCCGGCCCCCCTTTGCCCCACTGCCCTCCTCTCTCTGCCTCTCAGCCCAGGGCCAGTCTGGCCTTATGGTCTCACTCCTGCAACACAGAGGACCTAAGGTCAGCGGTTCCGTGCCTCGACGTGCAGAGGATTCCCAGGAAGCATGCTGCAGTGCAGATTCCCAGGCCCCAGACCCCAGAGCTCTGAATCTCCAGGTCTGGAGCAGGGGTCAGAAATCTGTATTCTTAACACAGGCCGGAGGGTCTGGAAACCCCTGGGGTGAAGACCTGAGTTTGGATTCCAGCCTCTTATGGGCTGCGGGACGGTGAAGTCACTTCATCTCAAGCCTCACTTTCCTTAGCTGTAGAACAGGAATAACAGCACCGTCTATCTCCTAAGGTGAACATTAATTAAGATTAATGGGAATGCACAAGAAAGACGGCTGTCTCTCGCAGGCAGGCTTTCGGGGCTGCTGCATGCCTTTTGGGACAGGCAGCTCCCTCCCTCTCCACCTGGCTCTCACTGGAGGAGCTCCTTCCTCCCCTGTGGCTGGACTGTGTCTCCTGGGGTCATGGGCCACCTGCCCCACGGTGATGCATCACCCGCCCCATTTCCCTCACACACTGTCTCCCCATCCTGGTCCCATCTGCTCTGAAATGGAAGGCTCTGAACTGGGGGCAAAGCCCCAGATCCGGGTGGGGGTCCCTTAGGCCACACGGTAAGGAGCAGCGCCTTGTTGGCATTGAATGAAGGGCCTGCTGGTGCTGGACCCGGAAGCTAGGGCTCCTCAGAGTGGGCGCTATGGTTACTGTCTCCCAGTCCTGGGCTGTGCTGGGTTGACGGACCCTCATCAGAATGGCCACAGCCCTCACCAGGCACCAGGCTTCACGCAGGTCGCCTCAGGGGCTCCTCACAACACCCCATGAGGTGGCACTGTTAGAACCCCATAAGCCAGGCCTGTCTGACGCCCAAACTTGTGTCCTTTCCTCAAGGAGCTTGATTCACCCCCACCCCCATCCGGGCATCTTCCCACCTCCCTCAGACCATCTTTCCACCCCCATCAGACCATCTTCCCACCCTCATCAGACAATCTAGCCCTAAAGGACATGGCTCTAAACTGATCAGCCACAGTGGCTGGGGTGGGAAAAAGAAGGACGAGCTTCCCAGAAGCCCCTCAGAGAGACACAGACACGCTGCCCTCACCTACGTGACCTGGCTTGGGAGGGGGGCTGGGGGCTGATGCCTCGAGCTGGGGAGGGGCCTGTGGATGCAGGAGTCCTACAGGGTTATGTCCGCCTGCCCCTTGCAACGGGCTTAGCCCTGGGTGGGCACGAGAGCCCCGGTCAGGGAGTGAGGGAGCCCGTGTTGAGCTGTACCAAGTGCTCTGGGCACTCGGGGGTGGGGCTGACAGCCAGGTTCTCTCCCTGGCGCCATGGTCCACATCTCCATATCCCTGTCCCCCATCCTGCTGGGCCCTGGCTGGGAAGGGTGGGGGTCGGCCAGTGGACGGCCCTGCCCGGTGGAATGTGGATGACTCTGGAGAGGCTGTTGAGCCTTATCTGGGGGGGGGGGGGGGGGAGTCTTCACCAAGGTGGGGGAAGGGAGGCACAGGGTCTGAAGCTGTTCCAGGCCTGGTTAGTGTCTGGATGACAACCTGGGCAGAGGAGGAGCACCTCTCAGAGCCCCAGGTTGGGGGGGGGGGCTCCTGCTCGTGGGTGGTTCCTCTCCCCCCATCACTTACTGAGTTCCCACAAGCGGGCAACTGCATACCTGAGGCTTTGAATCCTCCCACATTCTATGAGGCATGCCCTATTATCATCTCTTTTCTGATGGGAGACAGAAGTTCAGTAGGAGAAATGACTTGCTCAAGGTCTTAGAGTTAGTAATTGAGCTGGGATCTGAACCCAGGGCAGTTTTACTTAAAGCCTAAGGTTTTTTTTCTACCAAATTTCTATGTAAATTCTACAGTGCAATATCAGTTTCACGAATAGAACTCAGTGATTTGTCAATTACATACAACACCCAGTGCTCATCCCAACAAGTACCCTCAATACCCATCCCCAAACTAGCTCCTCCCCCACCCACCTCCCTCCACCACCCCTCAGTTTGTTCTCTATCATTAAGAGTCTCTTATGGTTTGTTTCCCTCTCCCCCCACCCCCCCTTTCCATATGTTCATCTGTTTTTTTCTTAAATTCCTCATATGAGTGAAATCATGTCAAAGACTAAACTCTTAATCCAGCACTACAGGCTCTCAGGCAGGTGGGGCAGGGGGCGGGGAGCTGGCTCTCTCAGTAACTTGGCTTCTAGATCAGCAGGTGACCCTCTAACACGGTGGAGGCAGCACAGTGGCCTGAGCCAGGTGTCTGTCAGCAGGTCTCAATACCTGTCCTGTACCCTGTGACCTTGGCCATGCCAGCGGTCAGGCAGTTGCTGAGGGGAGATATAGTGAGGGCCAGGGATCCCCTGAGAGGTTTCTAGGCCCTAGGGGAAAGAAGAGGGTGGGAAGGAGGGACAGGGAAGGGGCCCAGCTCACAGTCCCTGCCTTTGAAGTCCTTCATCTCCGGTTTCACACGGGGATGGAGCTGCCAGACCCCTAGCAAGAGAGGTGGAGGGGACAGTGGGAGGACACCCCCCCCCCCCCCAGGAAACAGAGGAGCCACAGAAGGGAGACCCAGAGCAGACTCCCCTCCCTCCAGGGGGCTGAAACATGTGACAGGCTTGAAGGTCGTCCCAGCGCTAACTTGCTAACTTGCCGTGAGACCTCAGGCAAGAGTCTTTAAAGCAAAGACTTTTCTTGAGCCTCAATTTGTTCTTTTGTAAAATGGGCATGACAGAGCCTGCCCCAAAGGGCCCCTGCAGGGAGGGGGTCAGACAGTGGAGCGCAAAGCTCCCAGAGTCAGAGGGTGTCTGCCCTCTAATCCTGCCCGGGTGGGGGTGGGTAGCCAGGCATCCGGGTCCCATTTCTCTGCTACGGAGACCCTCCTGATGCGCGTGGCTTGTAGAGTCCCCGGCCCTCCCTCTATCCTCCTGAAAACAGACAGAGCCATGCTGCTTTCCGGCTTTGGGGTGCGCCTGAGTTGTGGGGAGGGGAACGTCCTGGCTCCCCCCACCCAGCCAACTTTCTCTCTTTGCAGGAACGGTGCCATCGGAGACCCCAAGTGTCTGTGCCTCAGACCCGTGCGCTCCAGGGGCCGAGTGCCAGGCTATGGAGAATGGTGGCTACACCTGTGGGCCCACGGAGCCCCGGGGCTGTGCCAGCCAGCCATGCCACCATGGCGCTCTGTGTGTGCCCCAGGGCCCAGATCCCAATGGCTTCCGCTGCTACTGCGTGCCCGGATTCCAGGGCCCACGCTGTGAGCTGGACATTGACGAGTGTGCATCCCGGCCCTGCCACCACGGGGCTACCTGTCGCAACCTGGCTGATCGCTATGAGTGCCACTGCCCCCTTGGCTATGCAGGTAACAGCCTCAGCCGCCCTGGGAGGAGGTCTGTAATGTCCATCCTGCCCATCCCGTCAGCGGCTCAGGGTGTCAAATCATGAATTCAGCTCCAACTTTAGTGTAGAGACATCCACTCTGGGTCTTGCTACAGAACTGATGCCTCTCGGGCTGACCTGGCAGCTCGGGATGAGAGTACGAACGTGTGATTGCGCCTGGTGCCTGACGTTTAACAGACACTGCACAAATGTTATTTCAGTCCCTTCTAGAGTTCAGTTTGGTGCTGCAGTCTGTACCGCAGTGGGGAGCCTGCAGTATAGACACTGCTGGTTCTATGTCAGCCCTGAATTCAGACAACTGTGCTCTGAGGGCAGAAGGCGGTTTCAGGTCACCCCGGAGCAAGGGGTACAGGCCGGAGGGACTGGGTTCCAGGGGAGGTGGATCTCGGCACTTTGGAAACGGGTCCCATGTGTCTTTCTCACCACTTGAGAGTCTCGGTGTCTGGAGTATCAGTTGTGTGTGTGGGAGGGAGGTCACGCCAAGGGCCTGTGTGTCTGCCAGCACCTGCGGGATGTCTGGGCTCCCTGAAAGTATTTGTGGGAAACGTAGGTGTGTTAGCAGGTGTGCGTGTGCCAGATGTGCGGTGCTTGGGCGCTTTGGGGGAACACTTTCTGGCTGAGTTGTGGATGTGAGTGGGGGCAGAGTCTGCCATGACTCATTTCTCTCCTCCTCCTTCCGTTCCAAGCCAGGCGGGGGAGGCTGGGATTCCAGGCGGCCAGGGCCTGGCTCCCCCTGGCACAGGGAGGGTGGGAGTAGGACTGGGGTGGGAGGAGTGAGGGGGTCACGGGAAGGAGGGGCCATGCTTTGTGCTCACTGAGCTGGGAAGGGGGGACGTTTCCAGCTGGAACCAGCTCGGCTCCTGGCCCCCCAGAACCAACCCCGTTTAGGGGGCAGGGGGCAGGGGGCAGGGCCTCCGGAGTCTACCATGACATGTGGGCTCCCGGATGAACTCAGGCGGCACATCCCCAGACCCTGAAATTCTCCATCTCCCTCTATCTCCACACATCCCCAGTCCCTGGCCAACTGTCTCAGTTTTGGCTCGGACTGAGGGGGTTCCCAGGACCCAGGACTTGCAGTTTTCGAAGCAAGACGGTACAGGGGGAGCCAGGAGAGGCTGGTCACTCCAGCATTTCTCGCAGGGGCACGTCCCTCCACCATGGAGGCCCTCTCTACACGCTCTTCAAAGCCAGCAGAGTGAGCCTTCTACAGTGTCCACAGCACCGGGTGATTCAGCTGCTTCCAACTTTTAGGATAAGCTCAGATTGGGGCCCCCAATGCCCCAATACCTCCACCCCTGCCTCGCCTCTTCCCCTCTCTCCTTTGCTCCTGCCCCTCCATGCTCCCCTTCCTGAGGGCATCATGCCCCAGCCCTTAGCTACTCCTGACCAGTTCCCCACCCTGGAATCCAGCTGCCATCACAGCCCCATCCCAATGTAGTGCGTGCCACTCATCTTTCAAAAGGCTCTTCTTCCAAGAAGCCTTCCCTGACTCCCAATACCCAAGGCCAAAACCCTGGCTCTTGCTTTTCTGGGATCCAGCACGCTCCCATTGCCGAGTTTATCACAGTTAAAAGTCCTCATCTATGTAATACTGGCCCAATCACCGTCTCCCCGGCTAGACCGCTGTGGGCTCAGGAGACAGGGACGTCTGTCTGGTTTCTACCCCATTGCCACTGCTGGCTCAAGAAATACCTGCTCTAGATGAACGGACCAACGGCTTCTCTCCGGAGCCTCAAGTTTCCGCTCCTTGTAACTGTCTGGAGCTGGTTTCAGGGCGGCCTGCCTGGGCCTCTTTCGACCTCCCTCTGGGAGTCCATCCGTCTGTCTGTGTCTTCGGCCCTGTCCAGGGGTGACCTGCGAGACGGAGGTGGACGAGTGTGCCTCGGGGCCCTGCCTGCATGGGGGCTCGTGCCTGGACGGCGTGGGCTCCTACCGCTGCGTGTGCGCGCCGGGCTACGGGGGCGCGAGCTGCCAGCTGGACCTGGACGAGTGCCAGAGCCAGCCGTGCGCGCACGGGGGCCGGTGCCACGACCTGGTCAACGGGTGAGCGGACGGAGGCGTGGGAGGGGGCTGCGCGGGGCGAGAAGGCGGTGGAGGCAGGTGGGCCCCAGGTGCCGTAGGGCTCAGTCCGGGCCGGCTGGGCCTCGCTCCCCGCTCCAGGTTCCGGTGCGACTGCGCGGACACGGGCTACGAGGGCGCGCGCTGCGAGCAGGAGGTTCTGGAGTGCGCGTCGGCTCCCTGCGCGAACAACGCGTCCTGCCTCGAGGGCCTCGGGACCTTCCGCTGCCTCTGCTGGCCAGGTGCGTGCGCGTGCTGGGGCGCACGGGCGCGGCCCCGGGCCGTGGGGCCGGTGTGCGCCTGCGCTCACCTGCCCTCCGAGGGTGTGCGGGTGACTGCAGCTTCTCTGAAGTCAGGGTTTGCAGTAATCTGCCAAATAGGGCTCATCGCAGCACCTGCTCCTAGCATTGTTGCGAGGTAGGGAAAGGTGTAATGCGCGTGGAGCCTCGACAGGTGCCAAGTGCTCACCAGTGCTGCTAATAATGGTAACAGGACCCTGTTGAGGGCTGCCACGGTCGTGCCTACCCTCCTCATTGCATCCCTCCCTCACCGTCGGTGCCCCTATTCTGAGTTGTCCCAGCCTGGCCCCGGGTTGGCCTGGCACCAGTGGTGGGGTGCGGCCCGGTGACACCGTGTGACGGGCTGCCCGCGCACGTGTGCCTCCAGGCTACAGTGGCCAGCGGTGCGAGGTGGACGAGGACGAGTGTGCGTCGGGCCCCTGCCAGCATGGGGGACAGTGCCTGCAGCGCTCAGACCCAGCCCTCTACGGAGGCGTCCAGGCTGCCTTCCCCGGCACCTTCAGCTTCCGTCACGCCGAGGGTTTCCTATGCCGCTGCCCTCCGGGCTTTGAGGGTGAGTCCCCCTACACCCTTCCAGGGAAGCAGGTCCCTCGGTGTCCGGATGCAGGCCTGGCCCTGCCACACAGGGTGCCACCTGCCTGAGTCGGCACTTCTTGCCGGGTCTCAGTCTCCATAGCTCTAAAATGGGCCCTTCCAACTCTAGTCTGGTTCTGAGGGCACAGGTGGGAACCGCGGCTGGCCCTCTTGCAGGGGACGAATGTGACGTGGATGTGGACGAGTGTGCCTCACGGCCATGCCTCAGTGGAGGCCGCTGCCAGGACCTGCCCAATGGCTTCCAGTGCCACTGTCCGGATGGCTACACAGGTGCCTGGGGGTGGGCTGGGCTCCGGGGCAGAGCCAGGGCAGAGTTGGCGGGCCTGGGGTGAGAAGGTTCTTCTGGCTGATATGTGGAGGCTGGCTTGATGGGGATGAGGAGATCAGGAAAGAGGCGGGTGTGGGGGTCCAGGTGACAGCTAAGAGGGGCTGCGTGGGGACTGACCGGGCTTTGGAGGTGAAAGTAGAGGAAACTAATTGGACTGAGAACCCTTAGGAGGGACAGTCTGCCGGCCCTAGGGGTTAGTCCAGGTGTGAGTGGGAGATGTCAGGGATGCTGGCTGCTTCTGCCCTGGGTGATGTTGGGTGAGCCTTGTCCATTCTGAGTCCGGGTGTCTGTGGAGCACCCATAGGGAGGAGCCTGGGTGGGGGTTGGCAGTCCTGGGACTGGGGCCCGGGAAAAGCCAGAGACTGAGGGTCAGGAGTACAATTGTGGCAGCCGGGGCCACGGGTGGCCAAGGCTGTCGGGGAGAATGTGTGCAGTCATGCGCAGAGAGAACTCTAGGCACCTGGCATCCAAGTGCTGGGCAGAAGCCGACGGGCCTGCAGGGAGAGGACGGCAGTTTGGCCAGGACAGAAGAGGTGAAGGGGGGCATCACCACTTGACCTCTGGGGAGCTGCTGCCTATGGGGCAGGAGTTGGGCTGCAGAAAGCCTCTCCCTGCCTTGGGTACCGCAGATGCGTAGACACACAGTTACCCTTGCGCAGATACTGGTGAACCCGAAGAACTCACACGCTCTCTGAGTGTCCCTGCCCCCTCTGGAATGCCTGTGACACTTCCCCCACGCCGGCCCACATTCCTGCCTGGGCACACTGCCTCCTCTCCCTGGCAGGTTTCCTGGGCACTGGCTCCCCTGCCCAGGGGAACGAGGTGGTGATTACTGTCCCTCCCACCTCAGCTGCCCAGAGATGCTGGGCTCGATGTCCCCTACCCCCGGGTGGCCACCACCCCCGGGTGCCCTGAAAGCCCGTCTTCTGTGCCCCGCGGGCCAAGATTCCCAAGTCCTGCCCGGGAGCAGTGGCCTTGCAGGCCCCTGGCACACACTGCCCCCCCCCCCCCAGCACATGCTGCCTGTGAACAGCGTTTCTGTGCATTTCGTTCCCCCCTTGTCACCCCACCCCCGTGAGGTAGGGTTCTTACACATGAAGTAATGGATGCTTGAGAGAGGGGGTGTCATTTCCCGAGGTTCACCAGCGTCAGCCAAAGCCCAGCTCCTCCCCAAGCTGAGCTCAGCGGACGGGTGACAGGGAGGTCAGGTCTGAGGTCAGGGACGGGGCGGGGGAACCCCGCTGTAGGGCTGTGCTGCTTGCCACTGTCCACCCCCATCCTCCCTTTGGGTCGTGCTGGCCCGGGGGAGGCCAGTGCCTGGCATTCCTGAGGCGGTTCTGAAGGAGGCGGCTGGCCAGGCGGGGAGCTCTGCTCCCTGGGCTCAGCACCCACCCACCAGTCTCGGCCATCCATGGGAAAATGCAATGGGGCCGCGGGCTCTGTGGACCTTCCTGGGGGGCCTGTGGCTCCTGGCAGGTATGCAGGGCCTTGGACAGGGTGAGGTGTGGCCGGCTGTCCCCAGGAGGCTGTGGTGTCTGTGGGCTGACTGGGACCAGGATTCAAATCCTGGTGGCTTTTCTGGGCCTGGGCCCCTCCAGCTGGGATATGGGTCGGGTCAAGGGCCAGCCTTGGTTGTTTTATGGAGGCTCTGACTGAGTTGGGGTTGGGCTGTGGTCTCTTGACCCAAACTGGGACCAGAGCACCTCGTGTGGGAGCTCTTGGAGGAGAGGGTGATGTGGCCCCTTCAGCATGGGGCCCTGGGGGCAGAGGGACTGGGGGATGAAGACTGGATGCATTTGCCCACCCCTGCTCCCTCCTCCATCTGGCACTCTGTCCACAAAAGCTGTGCCAGACCCCTTGCTGGGCACCAAGGACGTATTCAGGTCCCTGGAGGAGACCCCAGCTGAGTAAACAGATACTTTCAGTACAGGGTTCTGGGGAGCTGTGTCTGGGGGTGGGCAAGGAGTCGGGAGTGACACAATAGCTTGGGAATCAGAGAAAAAGCCCCTTAGGGGACTGACCCTTTGAATTTGGGCTTTGCAGGGTGAATAGGAGTTTGAAGGCAGGGTCAGTGAGGAGGAGGCGGAGGCATTCCAGGGAACAGTATGAGCAAAGCCCCCAGAGAAGTGCTGTCCAGGAAATGCCTGGAGGAACAGGCAGTTGGAGGTGTGTGGGGAGCAGGGTTGAGACTTGAGGGCCTGGGAGGGCCCAGCCCCCAAGGGATGTGGAATGCCAAGGTGAGTGAGTGAACCTTAAGCAGCAGGGGAATCTGGCCGGGCCGGGAGATGGATGGTAGGGGTGGTTGAAGGCAGGCAAAGTAGAGGACACTAGACTGTGGCCCTCAGAGCTGATGAGGCAGATGGGTGGAGTAGGGGAAAGGGGGGGGGGGGGACAGAGAGTGCTTAGGGGATTGAATCCACGGGGCATGGAGGCCCACCAGACATGGTAAGGGAAGGGGCATCTTAGATACCAGCCTCCAGGGACTTCAGGAGACCATGAGAAATCTTTTGGGAATTAGGAATTGGTTTGGTTGACAGGTGCTGAGATCCCTGTCCCAAAAGGTGTGTAAGTTCTGCATCAAGATTGTGGTTCTTGCCTTGAGTGCTGAACCTTGGCCTGGTCTCTCCTGAAGGCCTGACGTGTCAGGAAGATGTGGACGAATGCCTGTCGGAGCCCTGCCTCCATGGCGGGACCTGTGATAACACCGTGGCAGGCTATACCTGCTGGTGCCCGGAGACCTGGGGCGGGCACGACTGCTCTGTGCGGCTCACCGGCTGCCAGGGCCACACTTGCCCACCTGCTGCCACCTGCATCCCCATCTTCAAGTCTGGGCTCCATAGCTATGCCTGCCGCTGCCCACCTGGTACCCACGGACCTTTTTGTGGCCAGAACACCACCTTCTCTGTGGTGGCTGGGAGCCCTGTGCGGGCCTCAGTGCCAGCTGGAGGTCCCCCGGGTCTGGCACTGAGGTTTCGCACCACACTACCTGCCGGTGCCTTGGCCACTCGCACTGACACTCAGGACAGCTTGGAGCTGGCACTGGCGGGGGGCACGCTTCAGGCCACACTCTGGAGCCATGGCAACGCCACCGTGCTTCCCCTGGGGCCGCTGGACCTGGCCCTAAATGATGGCCACTGGCACCAAGCCGAGATTTCGCTCCGCCCGGGGGTCCTGGAGCTGCGGCTCTGGCATGAGGACTGCCCTGCCCGGCTGTGTGTGGCTTCCAGTCCTGTGGCCCCAGCTCCTGTGGCTTCCGCGGCCCCGACGCCTGCCAGGTTCTGCTCCGCCCAGCTGGGTGGCGCAGCCTTCGAAGGCTGCCTCCAGGACGTGCGTGTGGACGGTCACCTCCTGCTGCCTGAGGATCTCGGCAAGAATGTCCTCCTGGGCTGCGAGCGCCGTGAACAGTGTCAGCCTCCGCCTTGTGCCCATGGAGGGGCCTGCGTGGACCTGTGGACTCACTTCCACTGCAAATGCCCCCGGCCCTACAGTGGTCCTACATGTGCTGATGGTGAGGAATAAGCCCGGGGGACCCTGGGGCAGACAGTATGCCTTCCCCTCGCTCACAGGCCTCTCACCTGATACCCTCTCTCCCCACAGAGGTTCCTGCTGCCACCTTTGGCTTGGGGGGCACCCTGAGCTCTGCCTCCTTCTTGCTCCACCAGCTGCCAGGCCCCAACCTCACCGTGTCCTTCCTCCTCCGTACTCGGGAACCTGCTGGCCTGCTGCTCCAACTTGCCAATGACTCAGTAGCTGGGCTAACAGTATTCCTGAGCAAGGGCCAGATCCAGGCTGAGGTGCTGGGCGGGCCCGCTCTGGTGCTCCCTGGGCGCTGGGATGATGGGCTCCGCCACCTGGTGACGCTCAGCTTCGGGCCTGACCAGCTGCAGGGCTTGGGGCAGGAGGTGCACGTGGGTGGGAGGCTCCTCCCTGCGGACGCCCAGCCCTGGGGTGGGCCCTTCCGAGGCTGCCTCCAGGACCTGCGACTCAATGACCTCCACCTCCCATTCTTTCCGCCGCTGCCGGGGAACTCAAGCCAGCCCGGTGAGCTGGGCAGCAGGCAGTCCTGGAACCTCACCATGGGCTGCGTCTCCGAGGACACATGCAGTGTGAGTTCCCTGGGGAAAGGGGTGGGTCCCTTTCTCCAGGGTCTGTCGTGCATCACGGGGGGTTAGCATCCCCTTCTACTGGTGAGGAAAATGACAGGAGGTGAAGCACTGTGTCCAGGTCACCGCTGCTAGAGACTGGATTCACATTATTCTCTCTGGCCCAGCTGCTCTTGCCCTCTGGTGGTCCCCATACCTCCCTCCCCAGTCTTGGTCTGAGACAGACACCCGGGCCCAGGCAGAGGGCTGGCTGAGCCTTTCTGTAGGAGCTACCTGGGGGACAGGGACATCCCTGGGTCCATGAACAAAGCACCAGCCTTGGAATAGACGGAGTGTGAACTCTGGCTCCTCTATTTACTGGCTGGGTGAGTCAGGCAAGTGGCTTCTCCTCTCTGAGCCTCAGTCTCTTGATCTGTAAAATAGGGACAATGGTGACATCCTCTCTAATTGTCTGTGAGGAGTTAATGTGTCTGTAGTGGTTAAGGAGGGGTGGTGATAGCCCCCAGGCCTGAGCCAATCCCTGCCCTGATTCTTCTTCAGCCTGACCCCTGTCTCAATGGTGGAATGTGTCTCGTCACCTGGAATGACTTCCACTGCACCTGCCCTGTCAACTTCACGGGGCCAACATGTGCCCAGCAGCTGTGGTGTCCTGGCCAGCCCTGCCTCCCGCCTGCCACCTGCGAGGAGGTCCCCGATGGCTTTGTCTGTGAGTGTGTACCGTGGGCAGACCACATGCTGGATCCTGGACACCCAAGCTGAGTTAGAGCCCACTCTTACCCTGAGGGCACATAGTGGACCAGGATGCCAACACCCCCAGCCCAGCATGGTTAGGCCACTGCATGCAGAGGGACAGGTTTTCTGGAGGAAGACAGCATTGACCAGGTTTCCAAGGGCAAGACTGGGCGTAGGGGAGGACATTTTAGGGAAGGACAATAGCACCGCAAAGGCCCTGGGGTTTATAAGAACAAGTGAAACATAGTTACAGGTGTAGGGGTGGAGCTATTGCCAGGGGGGGCCTTGAAAGCTAGGCCAGGCAGCTCAGGACTTGTTCCCAAGGGTCGTGGGGAGCCATGGGGCCGTTTTAAGCAGGAGAAGGACATGATCAGCATTTTAAAGAGACGACTTCATTTTATTAAAATGCATGATCAGCATTTAAAAACCTGCGTTTAAAAAAGATGCTGCAGTGAATAGCCTCAGTGATGAGCCAGAGCCAGTACACTGAGGAGGGAAGGGGGCAGATTTTTTGAGGCATAACTATTGCCTGGTCTGTGACCTGGAGGGTAGGGTGGGCCATGGTAGGGTAGGGGCAGGTGTCCCCAGCACAACCGGAAGCTGGTTCTCCGAGGTACAGAATTATGAGTGGGTGGAAGCCACAGCCTGGAGGGGAGGGTAGTTCCTGGGATTAGATGACAGGCCGGTGTGTGTGACCCCTCGAGATGGGCGGGGGCAGTGGGGACGGCAGGTGTCTCACCCGGGTGCTTGGGCCCGGGTGGAGGCCGCTGGGCCATTCCCTGACGCTCCCTCTCCCCGCAGGTGTGGCCGAAGCCACGTTCCGCGAGGGCCCCGCCGTCGCTTTCAGCGGGCACAACGCGTCGTCGGGGCGCTTGCTCAGCGGCCTCTCGCTGGCCTTCCGCACGCGTGACTCCGA